AAAAAAAAAAAAGTCTGAGGCTGAAGCCTGCCTAGTCTGTTGGAGAGCAGAGGAGAAGTTGCTGGTGAATGCGGGGATAAGAGAGAAGGGTGGGGTGCTGGGGAGCTGCACATGCCCAGATGGTAGACCTTGGCAAGGGTTTTACTCTGAAGGTGTCAGGAGAGTTTTGAGCAGAGGCAGGGTCACTCTGACTTGGCTTCTAACTGGATTCCTTTGGCTGCTGAGTTCGGAGAGAGTGCAGGAGCTTGAGGGATTGATTTGGGAGAGTACAGGCACAGGGAATTGTACTTCTACATTTATTTCCCACCTTTGTTCTTCAGCCTTATTCCTGTTGCCTCTTCTCCTTAAGAATCCTTCAGATGTGCTTACAGTACGTCCTCACATGCAACACACTCTTTTTACATGTATGATAACAGTACTATTAACTATGGGTTTGACGTTGTACAGCAGATGTCTGGAATTTGTTCATCATGTGTAACTGAAAAAAAAATTTTGTTTTCTTTTTTTTGGCCGGGGCTGGGTTTGAACCCACCACCTCCGGCAAAATATGGAACGCTTTACAAATTTGCATGTCATCCTTGCACAGCGGCCATGCTAATCTTCTCTAAAAAAAATTTTTTTTTTTGAGACAGAGTCTCAAGCTGTTGCCCTGGGTAGAATACCATGGCATCACAACTCACAGCAACCTCCAATTCTTGGGCTTCAGCCATCCTCTTCCCTCTATTTTATTTTCTATTTTTAGTAGAGACAGGGGTCTCACTTTTTGTTCAGGCTGGTCTCAAATCTGTCAGCTCAAGCTGTCTACCACCTTGGCCACCCAGAGTGCTAGGATTATAGGCGTGAGCCACCACGCCCAGCCACTGAAATTTTATTGTTATTTTCTTCTATTTTCTTCTTTTGAGACTCACTATGTTGCCCTAGGTAGAGTACCATTGCATCACAGCTCACAGCAACCTCAAACTCTTCGGACTGAAGCGATTTTCTTGCCTCAGCTTCACAAGTAGCTGGGAGTACAGATGCCCACCACAATGCCTAGCCATTTTTTGGTTGTAGTTGTCATTGTTGTGGGTTCAGACCCACCAGCTCCAGTGTATGTGACTGGCGCCCTAGTTGCTGAGCTACAGGCACTGAGCCTAATTTGTTTTGTTTTGTTTTTGTTTTAAGAGATAGGGTCACCAGGCCCAAGGGTTCATGCCTATAATCTTACCACACTCTGTGAGACCAAGGCAGGTAGATTGCTTAAGCTCATGAGTTTGAGACCAGCCTGAGCAAGAGCAAGACCCCATCTCTAAAAATAGCTAAGCATTGTGGCAGGCACCCATAGTTACAGCCACTTAGGAGGAGGCTCAGGCAAGAGGATCACTTGTGTCCAAGAGTTCGAGGTTGCCGTGAGCTATGATTGCTATAGCATTCTACTGAGGGCAACAAAGTGAGACTCTGTCTCCAAAGAAAGAAAGAGGAGAGAAAAAGAGAAGAAAGAAAGGAAGGCTAGGCATTGTGGGGGGCATCTGTACTCCAGCTACTTGGGAAGCTGAGGCAAGAAGGAAGGAAGGAAGGGAGGGAGGAAACCAGCCAGCCAAGGCCGGGAGTAGTGGCTCACACCTATAATCCTAGCACTTGGAAGGCCAAGGCAGGTGGATTTCCCGAGCTCACAGGTTCAAGACCAGCC